CACACCTGACCCCACATCAGCCCCCTGCCTGGGGTGGGCAGAGCCCAGGACCCCCCCACAACAGCCACGAGGTTGGGCCAGAGCCCCCAGACCCTTCTCCAGGGCAGGGCTGGGCTCCTTTGCTGCCACGAAGGCATTTCCCTGAGAAAACGGCTGGAGGAACAACACCACGGCCTGAGCCAAAGCAGGGTGAGGCCGGGGCCGGCAGGGAGCGCAGGGTGCAGGACTGCGCAGCCCAGCAACGGGACTCGGCTCTGCAAGGGCATCCAGGCGCTGGGGACACCCCTCGCTGCCCCCCAAAACTGGGGAGTAGGACCCCCAGCTATGGAGCCGGACATGGCCCCGGCAAGGGCCATGGGCCCCCACGTGAGGCTCGCCCAGCAAGCGGCCGCCCAAAGCTTGGCAAGCACCCACGGGTGACGCCCACCACGACACCCCTCCTTTCAGAGCAGAGCCAATTGCTCTGCCTCACACGGAGCCACAGGGCGAGGGGTGGAAATCATTAAATCTGAAATATTGGCAAAGAGGAGAGGTAAGTGGGAAGCAGACAGAGCTTGTCAGGGAGGGGGCGTCCCAAGAGACCCCTCAAGGGGCTGTGGCCCTGCAGACAAAGCAGAGAGGCCGCCCTGCAGGGAGCTGGCATGAAGCCCATGTTCGTTTCGTTTTTGGGGATGTCTGGAGTCCCTCATCACAGCAAATGAGGTTTCCCACATCTGAACGGGCACAGCGGCCCACGATCTGCACCAGCACACACACCCTACAGCCGAGCGGGCAGGCACGGGCAGCGCGGGGCGGCTCAGTTCTGTACGTCTGCCCTAAAAAGACAGCACACTCGTATTTCTACATTTTTTTTTAATTGACAGTTCTAGGGAGAACAGTTCATTTCTTCTTCTCCACATCCTGTTCTGCCGCTTCTTTGGCGCGTTTCGCACGAATCCCAAAGAGACGGGCGTTGGCCCGCGCCATGCGCAGGCTGGCAAAGGCCTTGAAGTTCTTCTCGTCTTCTGAGATAACGCGGGCCTTCTCCCGTTTGAAAACCTGGTGGGAGAGAGCGCCAGACAGTCAGACTGCACATCAGCGGCTGCCAGAGCAGGCAGTATGTAAGGCCTGACACAATTCCTCTTCCAGCCCAGCTCCGGGATGCAGGGAAGAACAGAGCCCCCGCGCCACCTACGGGCCCGGCCCTCCCCAGCACCCACCAGGTGCCGCATTCCAACCGGATCCCAATCAACGTACCAGGGAAAACACACGCGGGACATGAAATCGGAGTCAGGTTTGGGGCGCGTTATCCACAGCGCCTTTGGGAAGCGGCGAGGCATTCGAGATAAATCCTGCCCAAGCTGTCGTGCTGCCAGCACAAACCCCTCGCCCCAGCTGGCAACCCTCAGTGCCCCCCACCGAGGAACACACGGATCCAGGCACTCTGGGCAAAAGACCAGGACAAGCGTGACCTGTTCCTGGTTTTCCTTCAGCCCGGATGGGAAGCGTCTGGAGACAGCAACCCTTAGCTGTACGACAGCAAGAAGAGAATCCTCTCCGTGATGTTTAAGTCTCAGTTAAGTCACACAGAGAAGGTGATTCGGTTACTTACATTCTTGATCGGCATAACCGGTCCAGTCAGCTGAGTCGCCATCTTGAGTTCCTCAGCCTGCGTAACGAGAGGACAAAACCCATTATTTAAAAAACTAGTATTTCAAACTTCTCAGGCTAGTACCTCGGTTAAAAGCATGCCTGATACACAGGTACCCAGCCTAAACACGCCGTTAACAATTCTGACTGGAGATTCAACACCGACTGGTAACGAATTCAGCATTTCAGCCGTGCAGCTACAGGAGCGTTTGGCACAGCCGTGCCGCATCAACAACCCGCGTTTCGCCTGGCTATCGATCAGCCCGGATCCGGCCAGAGGAGCAGTGGCCTTTCGGAGTTCTGCCAGATGGAAAAACGTTGGTATCTACTGTGCCATTTTTAGTCTGATACCCAGTATACTCCTCAGCAATTCCTTCTAAGGCTAATTTCAGCTTCTTGTAAGGATACAGCATTACACAAAAATGATTTATTTTAGATAGCTGATTTCAAGTAAACAAATTTGAAACAGTATTTCAGATGTAAGTATCTGTACCTACGGGTATGGAAGCTCAAGACCCTTCCTCTCCCGTTCCAAAAAGCAGCCTGCGCACAGTGGGCTCCACAGGCTGCACCAGGGTTATGTGGCTCAGAGCCAACAGACTCTCCAGAAGACTGACGACAGCTTGAGCGCTCCACCTCGTTTCCCGACTTGCACCACCCCACGGGAAGTGGAGCCAAGGAAAGGCAACTATACCCTGGATCTCGGTGAGATTTTAATGAAAAGCATTTTTGTATCTCAACAGCAACAACCTTCTCAAGCTTGCCCTGCACACGGCTTTCGCTGAACTACTCCCCCAAAGAGTTTGTCCTCTCCTTCCTCGCCGCTGTCACCACAGCAGAACTCCAGACCGGCTTTTCAGCCCTTCTGACAATTTACCTTCGTAAACCGGAATTCAGTTGGCTGGGCCACGATCAAAGTCCCAGCAAACAGACCCCAAATCTGAGCCGCGCTCCTCCAGCAGCACAGCAGTCCCTAGGCCAAAGGTCTGCCCAAAGCACTGCAGTAACCCAGGAGATCCCTGCAAAAGGCGACTCTACGAGGCCTGGCCTTGCGCCGGGCTCAGCCACCCCTACGTACGTGCACAGGAACGACGCTGCCTCCCAGAGAAGGGCTGCTCGCCCCGGGGGGTTTACGTTACGGGAAGCGTTCAGGAGCACTGCCTGACTGCACACCGCTGCAACGGGACGGACCGACGACCAAACCTCTGAAAACGTTACCAGAAACAGACCCCATGAAACGTTTCCAGCGGCCAAGCACTTACAGAGCTGTCTCCCTTCTTAGGCATAGCCGGCTTCCTTGGGAATAGGATGAGCTTGGAGCGGTACTCCTTCAGCCTCTGCACGTTGGCTTGCAGGGACTCAGTAGACTTGTTACGTCTCCGGGGATCCACAGAGATTCCAATAGTCCGGGCAAACTTTTTGTTAATGCCAGCGAGCTGAAGAGAGAGCGCACAGTGTCAGCACCCAACAACTCCCAACGTCACCACGCTACTGCCAGGAGCCACTCCGGTCACCAGCCAGACAAGGGTTCAAGTGCAGCCACTGCCGGCTGTGGAGTCTGGAGAAAGGCTCAGCATCCAACCGAACGGGCCGTCGGCAGCGTGAGGGTCTGGCAAGAGGGACCGACTACGCCACAGGCAAAGGGTGTCTTGGTGTCTGCATTTTAATGCTTAAACCGTTCCACAGACTTTACAGTAATTTTTGCAGATGGATTTCCTCAGGAAAGTGCAACCCTCGAGTAATTACGAGTGGGACATTCAAACTCTGATGCACATGACAGAAATTTGTGAAGTTAGCACGCAGATAACTCTGGTTCACTGAATACTGGAAGCTCCATTAAAGAAGTATTTTTTGTAACCATCTTAAACAAGAAATAACCTCATTTGCTGCTTAAAGACAAGCATCTGCGTGCCATTTTGTATTCCATTATTACACAAAAATTAAAGAAAAATAAAGTAATGAAGCATTTAGCATCCAGAAGGACAATTTTACTGCTTCAATGCGCTAATTTCACTGTTATAAACGTTTTAATTGATACTAAACAACACACAAGAGGCGGCGGTGGATGCCAGCTGCCAGTAAGCACTGATGTTTATTCCTGCCCACTGTGTGGAGATATGGGTGGGGGGTCCTGCAGACCACCAAAATCCAGCTTTTAACAGCTCCTCAGCTCAGCACACCTGGGAGGGTCACAGAGAACGGTTTCCTGAAGCAATGGAGGGCACTGAACGCTTCCTGTAGACTTTCAGTGTTCCTAAACCAACTCACAGCTATTGCACGAGGAAGAGCCAGAGCTACTTTGCGAGGGTACACTAAACAGTTCCCCTTCCTGGCACAACATCCCCTGCTTCTCTCTCAGAAATAAGCTGAGTGTGGTCCACAACACAAACAGGTTCACACTGGCTAAAACTGTTAGCATTAGCAGTAACGTGTTTTGTGAACAAAAGAATTTAATGAAGAAACGGTAAGTCTTCCTTACTGCCCCCAGAAGTTCAGGAGGTGCAATTAAGGCTCTTCCAGAATCCAGTTTTAATGCTATTTTGTTTAAGTGACAGTCTGACCAGACAAATGGACGTTTACTTTTCAAAGCAACCTTTCACTCTGACATACGCTACTGCATCCCCACTCCACAGTTAAAGACAAGACAAGGCCAGTGTTTTCTACACTCCTGTAGGGCCAGCAACACCAGGCATCTGCCCTGGATGAGCCAGCACCAGCAGATACCGACACCTCGGCAAGTCACTTGCGCATTGTTTAAACGCGGAAGAACAGGACAAGACAACCGAGCTCAGACTCACAGTTAATTTGACTGGGTTGGGATCAGTGCTCCGTACTTACTTTAAGCTCCTCTAGGCTGAAACCTCTGCCCGCACGAACTTTTTTGTGGTATCTGACAGTAGGGCACCTCACTATAGGCCGGATGGGTCCAGCCACAGGACGGGGAGCGATGCGGCGAGCCTTTGCCTGGCGGGCCTTCCTCCTGGAAGGTCGAAGGGGACAGCGATCAGAAGACAGCATTTCTGCCAGATGTGCCACTCCTACGCTGCCAGCTGACCTCCCTTGCAGGGAGGCATCTGCTACATGGGGATCTCTCAGAAACAAACACAACACTGGCTGAGCAGCTCAGACAGCGATGCCTGTTTCTACAGAACAGCTGCAGTCATCAGATATACAAGGGTTCAAGGGAATCATCAATGTCGTACAGCGATTCCGGAGATTTCTCATCACTTGACTGCAGCTGGAACGGTATGTACTGGAGCCTGACCCTGACCAAAGACCCCGCACCAAATAAGCACCCTGCTGCAATCCCAGACCCTTTAACGAGTAAGGTTAGGAAAACAGCTTGAAATAAAGACGCAGTAGTTCAGCTTCCTAAGCATCCCGATAGGAGACGAGAGACCACTTCCCCCAGCTACACGAGCTAAAGCAGACCGGGAAGGTGTGCTGCGGGCACTCACCTGCGAATC